TGATCCCACCCTTTAACTGCCCCTTTAGCAGGGCTGGTATGTATATCCCCATGGGACTATGTGGAAAACAGATCCAGAACTGATCCAGATTTAAAGGAACCACTGGTGAAGCTTATCTTTCATTTAATTTAAATATGTCTTGCTAACAGCTTTATCAGCACAAACAAGATGATGGTGGAGGGTTGGTATAAGTTGCTGGCACTGGAGCATTTATAGCAACACCAGCACATAAAACATATCCAGAGCTCACCTTCAGAGTCTTACTTATGTCTACAGTGACACTTGATGATGATGATGATTCCAGGGGGGTTTTTTAGGACCTCAATATCTAAAACCTTCTAACAGAAAAACATTTATGAAGCTGTATCATGCAACATCACGTTAATTAAGCTTTCACACAGCTGATAGAGGGAAATGCTGCCATTGCAAGGAATTCTTCCTTCATCTCCAAGGAATAACAGGAAATGGAGAGGCCTCAGCTGACAGCACACACCAGTCCAGCAGCACTGCCTGCAGGACAGATGATCCCACTCCAGCACTAAAATATCTCTGGGCAAAACCATTTCATCCTTGTCCACATTAGGGCATCACACCTCTTTTCCTCCTTTGGTTTGTACCAACTAAGCAAACCTTTCATTAGGACTGGATGCTGCTCACCCTCCTCACTGAGCAAAGGGCTGGCACAGCTCAGGCTCCAGTTGGATTCCCTGCCCTGCACCAACATCCCAGCACTCCCACGCAGGGATCCTTCCTGTCATGTGTTTCACAAGCTATGTCAGGCTGCCAATCCAACAAGTCTGTCCTCTTCCTTTTTTATTCCCTCTTGTATACAACCAGCTTGCACTAATCCCTCACCCAAAACCAGAATGGAGCTGGGACATCAGATTCCATGCAGTGGATATTAGAGATGTTCTTCTGTAAAATCGGGATTTGTGGTATGAACATGGAGATGCCAAAATCAGGGCAAATATTCCAAACATTCCTTCCTCAAGGCCCCCAGCAGTCCAGCAGCACACGAGGCTCACACGTGCCCAGATGAGCACGGAGCACCGAGACTGGGAGGGAAGCACAAAGCTTCTCAACCAGCTCCCATCTTGCAGCTCTTGCCCTGCCTTGAGCATCACTGCATTTAAGTAAGATAAGATGCATATCAGGACAGCCAGAATGTTCCCCAGGAACTACCACAATGCTGGAGGCACCACTGCCCTGGAATAAAACACCTCGTATGAGTCCTTACGAACCACCTGTGTGACTGAATAAGGCACAGACACTGCAGTGAGTTGTACCTCAAATCTAACTTTGCCTTGTTCACAAAAGCATCTCTGAAGACACTGGGCCAAGGTTTAAGCTATGTTTTATCTAAGCCAGCATGAGCAGCCCTGGCATCCCTCCTGGAATCCAGTGGTGGGGGCAGAGGGGCCTGGGTGTGCACCCGTGACATGCAGGGTCAGTCGCTGCCATCTCACTAGAACCACAGTCCTTCTTGAGGCTCAATTGTCTTCCTTCCTCCATTCCTGCAGTGAGAAAGGATTAAAACATTAAGGCCCATGAAACATGGTAAGAACAGAAAGGGGAAAATATGGAGTAAAGGTGGCTTAAAACAAAACCAGAGTGATTTCCAAACGGAGTGAGAGCATTGTATCTCACAGGGAGAAGGGAATGGGAGGTGCTCCCTGAACAGCAGACACGGTGCAGTACAGGACCACTGCTGAGAAATTTTAAGATACAATATACAGATGTGGCTATTTTCTAGAGTTAGAAAAATGTGGATGTTAAATTCTTACCCAGCTTGAGATTAATTTTCTTAAACCTCCACACATCGCTCCTCACATCACTGTATCATTGTGACCAATGCATTAGAAAGCTTCACATGAGCTTGGGTTTTTAAGGATATGCATCTCTGCATGAATTACCCCTCCACTGTGCAGGACATGGGACAGTGTGTATGTGCCATTCCACACACGTGCACAGCAGTAACACAATTAACAGGGATGTGTATGCACTCCAAACCACCTAAAGCACAGTCTAGGTAAGTTTTACCCCACACACAGGTATTATGTGTGTGTGTACACACACAGATAAATGTATATGTACATTGTGTCTCTTGGAAGAAATAAAGCAGAAGGAACAACCTGGGAGAGAAAGGCAAAGCAGGATACAAGGTAACAAAAGTGTTTCATCCCAAATTTTGCAAGTCTGGTTAGTCCGAGACCAAACCCCTCTGTGCCAGGACTCTGAGAAGCACATGAGCTACTTACCACAGCTGTTCACGGGCTGCAGGACAGCCCTGGAGTCCTGCCAGTCCCAGTGCCCGCTCCTCCCGTGATCCTGGAGCTGGAGCCCAGGGCAGGAAGCAGCTCAGCACTGCTCACACTGCCCCACCTCGCTCCTAAGCCAAAGCATTCCTGCTCTGCTCTCCTCTAGGATCCTTCTCTGTAGCATGCACGGGGCAGAATCTGTTCCAACACATTCAAACAGGAGGTTTAACAGGTTTGTTAAAATAGGTTTAACAGCTCCACTGATCCCTCCGAGAACACAGGAAGCCTCAAACTGATTTTTATTAAGCTCAGGAAAGTTCCTTGTAAGTTCTAGTTTAAGAATATTCTCTTTATCAAGAGCTCCAGCTCCAGCTCTGCAGAGAGAAGTCAATCCACTTGGAAAAGTTCAACCTTTAAACCACTATATACCACACTTACAATTCATATAAAGAAAATCTGCACTTCAACTGTACTTCAACTGAATTTGTTTTAAATTAATTTTGTTGTGATGAAAAAATATTTACCAATGAGATGTTAATACAAGTTAAGTTCTGACAAACTAGATTCAGAGGCCCCTTTTGCTCAAGTCATTGTTTCTATACATAAATACTTTAAAAAAGACAAAAAAGAAAGTGTGTCATGGTGCAAACAGGGAAACATCGTGATTTATTCACCTTCATTCAGCTGCACAGGTAACACACACGTAACATTCCACTTCCCCTACCTGCTGTCAGCACGGGATGGGAGCAGAGGACAGTTTAAGGACAGCTTGAAAACTCAGGACTCAAAAGGAGAGGAGGCATTTGGGGAACAGGCAGGGCCCCTCTGACACAGCACGAGGGGAATGAGCAGACGGGGGATGGTGGGAGGCTGAGTGTGCCTTCCTGAAATAGCTGCTCAGTGCCACTGCTGGGACAGAACCTGCAACAAATGCACCATCACCACGACCCCGGACATTCCTTACACTCACATCTTCCTTTTTTTTTTTTTAAGGACAGGAGATACAGAGAAAAGGATTCAGACACCTTGTTCCCTGACATAGCAGTGAGATGGAAATCAGGGCAGTTTAACACCTTTTTTCTGCCCCCTCATGGGAGATTATTCTGGAAACGAAGGGGATGAAACTTGGCAGCAGGATACCCCAGCAGCAAGGAGGGGGAATAGTCTAAACCCAGGGAGACTGTCAGGAATTCTGCAAAACCAGAGTCTCTGCCTGGGTCTACACTAAGTTTTTTGGTTTGCTTTTGAAAAAAGAGACACTTCTGAGGGGCCTGCACATCATGTGGCCGTTGCCTGTTATTAAGATTTTTTGTGTTTAACACGTTTTCCCTCATGACTTTCCATAGAAGAAAAACAGAACAAACCTGACCAAATGAATCACATTGGATGAACACCCGGTGAAAGCAAGAACGGAGAAGGTGTTCCAGCTCCATCAAAAGGAAAACCCAGGAAAGGTCTAAATCCTGATGAAGCATTCCTGAGAACACCAGATGCTGCCCATTACACTGGTAGCAACAGAAATTCTCACTTCAGCTCTTTACCAATTTAGCATTAAGAATAATTCCACGTGGTGAACTGCACTGCATGGAGAAATTCCCTTCACATGGAAAAATAACTGCAAATCTTAGAATCTCCTGAGTTGGGAGGACCCTGAGCTGAGGCAGCATCGCCCTCTGCTCCCTGACATCACACATGAAACACTGTTCATTCTTCTTATTTTACATCCCTTTTCACAGTAAGTCATTAAGAGAAAAAGCAGAGGTACAATCATCAGCCCAGCTTTGAGAGAGGGACCATTTCTGCAACTAAAGGACACAGCAAGGCACCTGCTGAAACTCAGCAGGACAGACTTCAGTTTATCAGAACTACTGTAAAAATCTCTGTTGGGGAAAAAGGGACTAAGACTGGACCACAGTCTATGCAGAGCCAACAAGGTTCTATGTGTTCCTTTGACCAAAAGGACACAGTTTCAGAAACATTTCTGAAAAAGGCCCCTTAAAGAACCTCCCTACAGCATCACCTGGGGGTGTCTGTCCTGCCCCAGCCCCACCTGAGGAACCAGGGAGCCCCCCTGACCTGCACACTGAGCAACTTTTAGGGTTGTCAAGTCCAACCATCAGCCCAGCACCACCACCGTGTTCACCACTAACTCCTGTCCCCAAGTGCCACATCCACACGTTGTTTGAACCCTTCCAGGGATGGTGACTCTACCCCTGCCCTGGGCAGCCTGTGCCAGGGCTTGACAACCCTTCCCATGAAGACATTTTTCCCAATATCCAACCTGAACCTCTCCCAGCACAACTCGAGGACATTTCCTCAAGAGCTCCCTCCAGAAGTTTCACTAAACATCTCTGATTAACAGTGTAGTTGGGCTTTAGGTTTGGTTTAATTAGGATGAAAACCATAAGATGAAGATAATGACTTTTTTTTTCCTGAAAAACAGGAAGGAAACCAAGCACCTTCTTTTAATTCCACCTTTCTAACAAGGCCACAAGTTACAAAATCTTTAGTGGAGGAACCTTGATTGGCCTATTCCTGAACACAGTTCAGATTCTTCTGAAAACATGTCAAATTCCAAACTGCACAATAATAATCCAATTCCTGCAGGGAAAGAAAGACAAAATATGAACAATTAAGTAAAAGCCTAATTCTATTTTGAAGTACATCACCCTTCATCAGGGCTCATGTAAAAACATCCCGAGTATGTTCCAAACAAGTGCTCAACAAAACCAGTCATGAATATGTGGCAAAAGTACAAAACTTCTTTGCACTATTAACAGATAATTTCATTTAAGTCTTAACACCAGTAAAATATCTATGAGTTGTTTCATTTAATTTTGAAAATCCATATAGAAAACAATGCTCATAACTCCATCCACAGGATTCTACAAAGCTGCTGCTTCATCAACAAATCTTTGAACTGTTTCAATATGAAAATTCCATTTTTTCAAACTGCTCAAAAATCATTGCAGAGAATTTCCAAGCACTTGAATTGAAGCACAACCAAAGTATGAACTTGGTACATTTTTGCAGTTATTTCTAAAATAAGTTAATTTACATAAGTCATCTCAAAATAACACAATGGGATTCAACTTCATTTTAGACATTTGGAAAGCAGTGTCATACTTTATTTAAAATAAACCCATGTAAAAACAAAGTTTAAATGAAAATGGTACCTGAAAAATAAATTATTTGATATAAAACAAATCAATAACTTAAAAACACACTAAATATACAAAATGTGTAACCATATACTGTACAGTATGGAAAGCAATTGATAAAACCTTCTGTCCCACAAACAGATTAATTTATAAACAAAAGATTACATAAGTTAAAGGAAAGGAAATCAATAAAAAGACTAGAAGTACAGTATTATTCAAATTACTCGTCAAATAAAGGTTTTTCCCAACTCATGTTTCAAATGTCTCAAGTCATTTTCTTCTCAATGACCAAGTGAAAAAGTTCAGCCATTCCACCAAAAACTTGCTCAAAAATGTTTAAAAATAAGGAACAACAGTAGGAGAATATTGAGATTCTAAAATGTGAACACAGAAGCAATTTTCCAAGGTTTCAGGTGGCAGTTCTACCATTACTGGTTTCCCATCATTAGCAACAAAAGAGAATTTCAGTGCTGAAAATTCCACTCAACAGAAAAATATCTCTAAACCTTTGCTGCTGTTTGACCCAGTGTGACCTAGAACAAACCACTGGGGTTGGACGTCAAACCCGCTCAGGGGGGCAGGGGGGTGGGGGTGGGTTTTGTTTTAGAGACCATAAAGGCTTTGACTGGTTTTAAATCATGCAGGAGGAGAAAGCAACATTTGGAGTTGGGTTTTGTTGGACTCCACGAGGCTGCCACAGAAGGGCAACCACCCAAACGACGCCGTACCTGATCAACCTACGAGCGCACACCTAGAGAGGGATGGAGACCTTCAATCCCGCCGGTTGTCACGGAGGTGCCGCCTCTTCCAAGGGAGAGGGAGGAAACTGAGACCCCTTTTTATGAATTCCACGGTTTTTTATTCTTTAATAAGCACCCAATAAGGGATAATAATCACAGAAAATAACCACTGGCCTCTCGAGCTCTGGGTTTATCCGTTCTATTGTGCTGAGGATCCCACCTTGAGGAGTGCAGAGCTACGTTAGAGGAACTTGCCTATGGCACAGAAAGACTCTCCTGCTTCCAGAGATTAAAGTACCTCAGGTGGCAAATTCAGCTCTGGGGCAAAAAAAAAAACAAAATGGAAAAAACCCCAAAACGCAAGTGCAGCTCCACTCAGGGAGCTCAAGGGGGTTGGGGTTTCCTTATGCTAAGGGTGAATTTGGTCCCTTCCCTCTAAAGCTATTCTTAGGTGTCTAAAAGTAGAAATGTAACAATAAGGTGCTTCACTGACAGATTTATAGAGGACACATTTCTTCATTATAGAAATCAAAAATACGGTGACCTTCTGAGAGAGGACAAACCACTCTGTGTTTGAGTTATGTGACTGAACCAGGCTGCCATCAGCTCACAAAAAAACCTCCCAAACACCCTAGTGCTCTGCAGGCAGAGCTATCAGAGGAGCTACTTTGAATGAACAGTTTATTATATGACCTGTTTGTTGTGTTAAAAAAGTAAACATGGGGACATTCTCCAAGTTGTTTTTTTTTAAAAGCACATACGTAACGATAAACTATCCAAAAAGGAACTTGAGTTATTAATATTTAGAGTGCACTCTAAACAAAAATCTCTCCTGAAATATTTAAAGAATTTCTACTTTATTGACCTTACCCAGAACATTAAAGCAACATGAAATTATAACAGATGTTTAAGGACCTTAAGGACTATTCATTTTCCAAATTCAGCCTTAAAATAACAGGTCACCTTTACAGTTAGGTCATAATTTTGGTTTTGACTGGTGGACAAATGGAGCTATGCCAATTTTTTTTTTTTTATATTTTTAACTGCTTTGTATATAAATAACATTACTACAACGTTCAACCCCCTTAAAAATAGGTGTCCTCTCCATACAGGCACCCTTTGGTCACCTGGACAGGGTAAGTGACCCCACACTGACCAACCAGTGTTCACTGCAGTGAGAATATTCTGCTCCAGTGACTTGTGCATCTCTGGATTTTCAGTGGGTTTCATGCTCACATGATACAGATGTACAAAAATCATATCCAAGCAAAGGGAAGGAAAAGCTCTGTGGTCACACACCACTGTGGGGACGGTGACTTCTCCCTCCATCCTAAGAGCTGGATCCTCAAGCCCTTCCCAGGCCCAGAGCTAGACCAGGCACAGGGATTGGCACAAGCTGGGCTCAGGAGGTGACAGTAACTGCACTGGTCATCCCCTCCCTCTGACAGAAGAGTGGAGCAGCTAAAGTAAACCAAACCTTATGATGATGCAGCTTGAAGAACAAAATAAATCCAACACTTGAGAGCATAGACACCATCTAAGGGGGACTCACCGAGAACTGAACACACTGAGCTGCTCTGATCCTGCTCGTGTTTGGATTTCGGGTGTTGCCATCCCCTCATCACCTGAAGGATCTGCACTTGCCTCTGCCAGCTCATACCAAGCACCTTCAGCAACACGAGATTCCTCTTCCATATTTCTGTGGAATTTCCCTGGCTGCTAACGGTTAACAGGAGGTTTAGGCTGTGATGAGGCTCATGCCCAGCGTTCTGCACAGGATGAATTCCATTCATGTGACAGCTGGGAAGCAAATGTAGGAACTCCCCTCGATATCTGTACAGGAGACCCTGTGACAGCAGCATGGATAACTGTGTTTTCATCAGGAATTACACCTGGTCCTTCAGAAGCTACACCCAGAGTTGTCCAGAGAGGCTCCTAATCTGCTCTAAAGGATCCCAAAACACTCCCACCGCAGCTGTTCCTGTAGCACATCTCCAGTACAGACCAACAAATCTAGGTTTTCAAAACCTGATCATCACATCCTAATCCAGTAACGAAGACTTTTCAAAATTCCCTACCTGAGACACTGTTTCTCATGAGGAACGTGAGAGACCTCTGCTTTGAGACAGCCCTTTGGTTCTACAAAGATCCTGCAAGCACTGACTGAGACAGAAGTGTCACCTGACAGAAACACCTGGCTTCTGTCAATTTAAGGGATGAAAAAGCAGAATATATCCACAGTTTTTCTACACTCCTTGACAATTAAGAGGCCAAAACCTCTCTTGAAACAGGTCTGTTCAAGTGAGAGCTTCAAAGCAGGGTCTGCTGGATGGCATGGTGAGGACACCAGTTGCTTCTAACTTTTGGGCAGAAAAACTGGCGGCAGATGTCTTGTTAGAATTTAGTTTCCACCTCCAGAAGTTTCCTTTTGGTCTTTACTAGTGGGATGCACAGGTTGCTGTTTAGGACCAAAACCATCAAGAAAATACACACAACTATTTATGCCAAGGATTTACTGTTGAAACAGCGCAGATCATACACTACTCTGGTGTCAGCTCTGAATATTTCAGCAGGATTTTATCCTCTTTTCCTGACTCAAGCAGCAGTGCTTTCCTCATACCAATCACCTAGAAATCACTTTCAAAGCAATTATCAAAGGAAGCTGGGAACAGACCTTTCCTAAAAGAGATTGTTGCAGTAGTGGTACAAAACCATATCCTGCATTTCCTTCTTATTTAGCAAAGAATGAGAGATGGAAAAGTAGGGAAGCAGTGGAAAAAGGAAGGGACAGTGATGCCAAAAAGCATCCAAGAGAAGTTGTTTTTTGAGTGGCAGCTGGGGAGCCCACAGCAATGTGCTGCTGCCACGGCAGCATGCTTGGAACCAGCACTGATGCAGAGCCATGTTTAGGGGTCATTCCTTGGAAGTCTGAACCCCCAGCTAAATGCTGTGATAAACAGCAACTCCCATTTGGTTTGAAAATTTATCTTAAATGGAACAAGGCAAGAGAGAACGACAGGAATTGGGAATGACTGCAGCCCACTTCTGTAGGACAGTGCAGGGTTCAGTGGTGATGGGACACAGTAAGAGAACTTCTCTGTACTACACATCTTCAACTTGGGAGAAGCCCCTGGATGCTTCCCAACCTCTCCTCGTACACAGAAAAGAAACACTCACTGATGTAATAAATGATGACAACGAACTGGTGGGAACCTCTGGAACAGACAGCCAAGAGCACAACTGGGGGGGTGGGAGTGGGTTGGTTGCTGTGTCACAGTCACTGTTTCACAGCCCATTTTGCTTCTCAAGAGATGGAGAGTGAACAGACTGGCAGGAGAGGCAAGGCTGGATGTTTTAACAGGAGAAATCCCACCTGCATTCACTGCACACAAACTCAGACCAAGCAGGAGGCTGCTGGCTGGGCCAAGGCCTATCTGTAGGGTTTAGGTGTGTCCCGGGCAGCTCCAGAAACAGCAGCAGCTCCCACAGGTCACCACTGGAGCTGGGCAGCAGCCCCTTGGTGGCCCCAAGGGAGCCCTGGGGCTGTGCAGGACTGCAGACCCCACTGAGGGAGAGGAGGAACGACGGCAAGCACAAGGCAAGGGCAGCTGGGATGGAGCGAGACGACCAGGCGGCATGGAACGGCCTCTGGAATTTGGGAATAAACTCTGGGGCCAGTAGAGGTTCAGGTAAAACAAGGAGACACTGCATTAAACTGCCACGGACCCCGTTTTCACAGCTGTTCTCCCTACACAAGCACCAGAGCTGAAAGTGGCCAAGCCTCTAGTTGTGCACAGCACCTCACACACCTGTACCTGGCAGGGTCAGCCCTTCCAGGTTTCCTACCCAAGAACACCTGAGGGTCACGTCAGTCTGTGGCACATCCATTGTAGTGCTCATTTCACAACTCTGTTTCTTCTACTCATCTGGCAAAGCAGTAAATTAAAATTCTCTTAAGGAGGAACTACGGTCCTTTAAAACAACACTCTGAAAGCTGGACACTCTGTGCAATACTTAGCAAAAAAAGAACAGAAAATAAAAAACAAAACAAAAGTTGAGCAAAACAAAATCAAATTTAATGTTCTTAAATGCAAAAGTAAAAACAAACAAAAAACACAAAAAAGCAAAAGAAAATTAACAGAAACAGAACAACTCAAAGTTTCAAGGCAGTCTGCAGAAAACCTGGGGGATTAATCTTTAAATCTACAAATCAAAGGGTTTTTTTGGTTAATATCTAACTTGCAAGTCGTAAGTACTTTTCTGCTGAGTGTTCAATAAGTAAAGCTAGTTGTCAAAACAAAATCCTAATAAAATAGAAAAATCTAGCACTCATTAGAAGGGATGCGAGAAATACAATGCTCAAATGTTTATAACTGGTTTTTCTTAACAAAATAGAACTGCCAAAGGAATTCCAACTACAATGATCTTGGAAAATGAGTAAGTATCTTGCTGCATTATAATGTACCAGTAAGTAGTGCACCATGCATTAAATATTTGGACAGAAGAGATTCAGTCTGATAAAGTAGCAACATATATTCACACTTGCTTTTTTTTTTTTGGAGTTTCATTTTGACTCTGAAATCTTCCCGGAGTTTCTTTGAAACTCTTTGGTCCATTCCTCTCAAAGTGGGCTTTAAAAGTCACGTTTCTACAACCTGTGAGTTGGACAGCTCGGCCACTGCTCAGTGTGCAACTTACCTCCCCAATGGTGTTAAAGTTAGGCTGGCATGCTACTACTTACAAGACCTTGACTTTAAAAAGCCTGATCCTCAACTAGACACACAGTTATGAATATTAATTGATCAAACAATTTACTGTCAACTAAAACATTAGTATTTCTCAACTTTTCTTCCATACTACTGAAACTGGGGGGAGGAGGGGAGGAGGAAAGGACATGGGGATGGGTAGGAAAAACAATAACATAAAACCCAAGAAAATTAATGAATTCAGCCTGATATTTTTCAGAAAATTCCAGTTTTTGCAGACAACATTCAATGAAACAAATGTTAGTCTCATAAGTGAAAGCATGCTTCAATTTTACCACCATCCAGAGGGTCTAGTTAATGCAATCTACTCAAGATTTCAGGGGATTTTTAACAGGTTTTAAATGAAATAACTTAAAGGAACTTAAAATTGGTCTAACATTGTGGGATTTCAAACATTTGAACATGTCAGTTGCATCCCAGAATATAAAACCTTTTCACTTCTCATTTAGACTAAGACAAACACTTGTGAAAATTGGCGCAAAATGAGTTTTACACTAACAAAAATGTTTCAACTTCTGTCACTCCATTATCTATTCCATACAAAAAAGCACGAGCAAGTTATTTGTGGGACTTGTTGGTTTTGAAGGAAACCTGTAAGATTTTGTCCCCCAGGCGGTAGCCATTAAGACTTGCTATGGCCATTGCTGCTTCTTCATAGTTTGTCATGGTCACAAAACCAAAACCTTTGCACTTGTTGGTGTTGAAATCTCGAATAACTTTCACATTGGTAACCGCACCAAAGGGGCCAAACATCTGCCAGAGGATTCCCTCATCAGCATCTTGACCAAGGTTGTAGATGAAGATACACCAGCCAGAAGATGCGTTTCCTGGAACATTTACACCAGAAAGCCCACTCATGTGATCTACACCCATAGGAGAGAACCTAGCAAATAAAAAGCACAATTCAATTCAATTAAGCAAATTAACTCGAATGGGAAGCAACGCAGAATGAATATTTTCTACATGGACATCAAAACCGCCAGATAAATGTTTCCCCATTCATATTGACAATCAAATCAACAGCTGCCAGGAAAGAGAAAGTTAAGAATTCCAACTGCTTTATCAACAGGGAACTATCCTTAGAAATAGGCAAGGAACAGGCAAGGCGAGGTTATGTGATCACCTTCCCAGGGGGCCTGGATGATCTCTGAACTCAGCCAGGCTGCTCAGAGTGTCCAGGGCACTGGTGCAGAACTGCCCGAGGGGGGGGCACAGGCAGCACCTCCCCAGAGGCCACAGGCATCTCCCAATTATTTCACTCAGGGAGGGTTTTCCCCTCATCCTCCTTTTCTTGCCTCTAAAATAGCATGTTGGGGACTCAAATGGTTTCTTTGGGTTTGCTGGGGCAGGGGATGGGTGTGCTTGGTTTTTAGGAGTAGAGATTGCATGTATTAATTTCTTGTTTTGTGGAACAGAACAAAACCTACTCCCTTTCCACCCAAAGGCAGCAGGTACAGGCAAACACTCCCAACACCAGCAGGCTCAGTGCACAGTTTTACAATTTCAGTATGCATGGATGGTTTTATTAATTTTACACCAACTTTGTACCAGGAAAACTTAGATACAACTTTACTGAACTGGAATTTTAAAATCACCTATACTCACTCTTCCTGAACCCTGCCTCCTGCATAGTACCCCAGCAGGATTTATGCATAACAAAAAACTGAAAAACCTCTCCTTTCTGTGTCTTGCTTTATATTAATTTCTTTTCCCTATAACCCACATTTCTAATTCCCCTTTATTCTATTTCTAGTCTCCACCCCAGAAATTCAAAGCTTCTGAATATTTTAGGGCAATACTAGGGTTGCAGAGCTAAGCACTCAAAGGTCAGGAAATGTGGCAGTTAAGGTGAAAAACTCGCTTTGAACCCTTGTGCTTATTTATTATTTAAAAATGTGAGGTCCCATAGAATTATAATGATACTCTACCAGGGGTTCCCAGACTGACTTGTACCACTGGTGACACGCAAACCCCTTAGAGGTGGTACAGGAGCTGCTCTCTGCCAAGAGCATGGCGGGGGCACATTCTGATTCTCTGCTGACCTGGAGGAAACAGGGAAGGGATGTCTGGGCAGTAAAGTGCCAAACACTTCCCCACTGACTCTTTCTTGCCCTGCATCAAGGAGCTGCTGCTGCCTTTGTCGAGGAGGGAGGGCTCAAGGGCGTGTATTGGGAGCGAAGGGGTGGCAGGACACACACACACACACACAGAAGGAATCAGCTCACACTCAGCCTGTACATTCACACATGAGAACCACTCAGGGCCCATCTCCCCCAGGCTCTCTGGGGCTCAGAGCTCATTGCCTTGGACACCTGAGCTCCTGGGCCCTCCTGTCCCCAGAGCAGGGGTCACTCCATCCCTCCCTCACTGTCCAGGGCCTCCCTGAGCCTGGGGTTTGGGGCACAGAGTGGACACACCTGAGCTCACGGACCCACTGGTGGCCAGCCCCAAGCAAATCCAAGTTTTGGGAATCCTTGTACTACAGTCAAGCTGAAAAAGCAGTTAGAAGCATCAGAAGGTGAATGAGACGCACTAACCCGTGTGATCTGATGATTAGGTGACATACCTGCTATTTATTGGGGCTTTGCAGAAAAATGTTCCTGTGTTTGCATGCTTGATACACTTACTTGTTCTGACAGACACCTTCAGCTCTGTAGCTTCTTTCCATGTGAGTAATGATCTGGTAGAATGGATTTATCTTATTATCTGGCAAGTTTTCATCTCAACAGATCACCAGTCCTGGGTCCTCCTCACATGTAGGGGGGGAGCAGCAAATCAGAGCTCAGAACTGCCTGACGTTGGTTCCAGCACTCAGTGTAGCTCTGATCCTGCCTGCTCCAAAGCCTCAGGCCCTGCCCACGAGCCCAGGTAACACCACACCAAGGCTGCAGTCACTTGTACAAGAGCAGCTGGTGTTGAATGCAAGAACACAACAAACCTAAAGGCATATCACAGACAAAATAATTGAAAATAGCAAGTACCTCAGCTCTTTGGATACACTCATTTTCAAAGAGATTTTTCCTCTCTTCCTGCCTTGACTCAGAAAATGTTGCAGGTTTATTTAAAAAAAAAAACAAACTAAGCAAAACATGGTAAAACCAAAAGAGTCCCCTAAAAGATTTGAAAAGTCACTTAAAGAAAACAACCCTAGGAAATGCAATTCAGCTGATCTGATGCATCTCTGTGCTCACCCTGCACATGAGGGACCTCAGACCTCTCACTCCTGGACAAGCCAGGCTTGGAGCAGCTGATACCTCTCTGTCCAACCAGGAAAGATTTTTATGACCACACCAATTTAAGATGACCCTGAGGAAGTTATACTTATTAGGGATGTTTAAAAGACTGTCCAATTTGGCCAAACTCTAAGGCCCACAGAAATCCAAGATGTTTCAGAGGAACAGTTTTAAAAATTCCATTAATATTGTAATTTGAATGATCTCAGTCTTATCACATTTACTGCTGGTGTCCTCATTTCTGCTGTAATTATTTTTATACTGTCTCCTCCACATTGCTTTTTTCAAGCCTCCCTAAGAGTCTGTAGCCAGTGTTATCTATGGATGGTTCTTTCAAGCAATGCTAACTTAAAACTCCAACATCTTGTGGCATTAAGTATCAACACAGTGTACTTTTAACTGCAATCCTTTTTCACTTTATAAGCTTCTCGTTTATATGAACGACCTTTTGCTGTTCTGCCATGAGACAGACAGACTGCAATGCTCAACAGATCCTGGAACTACTTTAACACACTGGAGGACAATCTCAGAAATTACACTCCTAAATGAAAAACAATTCTTTTTAGGTCTATGAACGTCCGTCCTATAAATTATTTTCATAGAATCACAGAAACTTCTGAGCTTGGAGTGACCCACAGGGATCATCCAGTCCAACTCCTGGCCCTGCACACACACCCCAACAATCCCACCCTGTCCCTCAGAGCTCCTGGAGCTCTGGCAGCCTTGGGGCCGTGCCCACTGCCCTGGGGAGCCTGGGCAGTGCCCCAGCACCCTCTGGGGAAAGAATAATTCCCTAATATCCATCCCAACTCCCCCAACACAGCCTCATGCTGGTTTTGCTGAACTCTTTTCACTGCACTCTGAGGACAGTTACATAGAGCATCACAGGAGGAGCCATCCCACAGTGCCAATAAGCAGGAACATTATTTTTAATATCAGCCTATGATGACTTCACATATGAGCTTGGCAGCTTTTTATTTTTTAATTCAGCTACACTGACATTGTCCCTCTGACAAGCAACTTTTTCTCCTCTGCCCTGATACAGATGGGAATGACCTGCTGTGGCCAACACAAATCTTACTGAGAATTGGTACAAGCTCTAAGCCTGCAATAAATCAGGGGGTTCAGTCAAACAGCCACATATGGGAGAAGAGCAGCAAATGGGGTTTCAGCCCCACATTCTTCCAGAACCTCGATGAAATACTGCTCTGGATGAAATGGTTTCTTCTGCAGCATTCTCAACACAGACAGCTTGCACCCAAATTACAAACTGGCCTAAAAATGGAAAATTTAAACAATTTCACCAGAGTGAAACCAAACAGATGTGCAGGAGTTCTCTGAGCAATAATGCCAATTACAGGGTTAAACACTCAAGAGTCTTCTTGTGTTTCCCCTTAGATCAAAGAACTATCAGAAATTACTCTCCTTCAAGCATTCAGGACTGAACTCATGGACTGATACCAGTAGAGTTATGACCATTACAGTAACTGGGAACTGGCTCTGACCCTGAACAAGTCTGAAAGCAAAACCAGCTGAAGTGGGAATATTTGAGATTTGAAAGAACGTTCTCCTGGTATAAAGCCCTGGTGAGCTGCAAAAGCACAGACCTTCCAGGGGTTCTGGGCACATTCTCACACTTCAGGAGCCAAACCCCTCCATTTAATCAGAGTTCAGCATCTGGAGATCTCCTATTCTGTGTAAGTAAATAAATCTTATGCTCAAAAGAAACCCCTGGTCCAGATGTTTTCTCTCTCCTCCAGCCACAACCCTGTGGCATCACTCCCTCTGGATGGAAGCAGAGAGCCCATGGCTCAGAATTAGCAGGCCAGCCCAGCACTCCAGGGGGACACAGCTCTAAAACCAGTTCCTGATGTGAGCCACAAATACCACAGGAACTCCAAAGGATTAACAGAACATTAAACAAAGGGTTGGAGTGATATCTGTAGGAAATTAATAATTACAAATTAGATACTAAGGGCTTAATCCTGGATTTACAGGGATTATGATGGAATGAGATGAAGTGTAATCAAAATGTCAGGTTAAGTATTCAACCTCCATGGAGAAGAGACCACAACTTTAATTTATACAGACTGTGTGCACTGTGGAAGCAGCTTATCTTTCATCATGTCTTGTTCACTACCAAAACAAACAACACTCAGCCCAAGCTCAGGTTCCTGAGTTTAACCACAGGATGAGTAATTATAACTCATTAAGTTCACACTCATTAAGACTCAGTAGAAAAACTTGCAGCTAACACCAAAGGTGGGAAGAAAAATTCGAAGGGCTGTGGGATAGACTTGATGATCTTGGAGGTCTTTTCCAACCTTAATAATTCCATGATTCTATGGTGCAAGGGTTGTGCATATTTGTACATATTTGTGCCTGCACGGGTCATCAAGGGAAGGAAGTTTTATAATAACTGTTGGAGGTCCTGCAAGTCTGGGACAAGACAGAGATGGACAACCTGTGTCTCTGAGTCAATCAGAGGATCTTGTGTCCACAGGGTATTCCTGACAGCACAGCCTAACCCACAACTGCTCTGTTCCAGCCTCTGCCAGT